CTGCAGGACCGTCTCCTCCATCCTCCGCATCTCCTCATGCATTCGCTGCTGTAGCTTCTCCTCCACCATGCTCTCCACAAGGCCCACCTCCAACAACACCTGGCTGCTGCTCACTGCCGGACCGCCGCCAGCCGCCGCCGCTGTAGCCGCCGTAGCCGCCGCCGAGCGCGTCCCCAAGGACCCTATTCCCGGCGCTGACGCCGTCGCTGCCGCCGCCCCCGTCACCGACGCCGACATAGATGCCGTCGGCTCCGCGCCGGCTCTGAGCCCCCGACCAATCCTCGACAGTCCATGGTGCCCCCGCCGCCCACTCGACATCTCCACAGACGCCACCGGGGAGCGACACATCACCGCCGGCGGAACCTCCGCAAACGGGGATCCCGCCTCCTGCTGCTGCGGGTAATGCAGGTGATGCTGATGGTGGTGGTGGTCCGGATGTCCAGCCGGCTGCGGCTTGACCAGCCCTGCCTCGGGCTGAGTGGTGTTCAGCAGCGCCCCTAGTTCCGCCATCGCGCTCCGTGCAGCCGCCTGGTAGTGACTGGCGGCGCCGGCGGATATCAGGATGGTCGTGGACGCGGGGCCAGCGGGGGGCGCGGCGAGCAGGCGACGGTAGGCGACAGCAAAGTCGCGCAGGGCCAACTGCATCCGCGCAACTGGCTCAGCTAGGGTGTGGTGGTGGTGGTGGTGGTGGTGGTGATGTGGCGCGGCAAATAGCGTGGGCAGGTGGGGAAGTGGGGGGGGAGGTTGTCAGTTAGGACACTAAGTATCTTGGGGGTCCCTGAGAGACAACACTCCGCACTTCAACACACACGCACACACACCACACACACACACATACACACAAACTCACTCCAACTTTATGTGATCCTATCAAGTCAATCACAGGTTCTGTAATGACGCACTTTACTTAATGGTGCTTTTCCTTACACGACACATGCTGGCAAGGCAAACGAGAAGTCACACGTCATGTGATCACACACCCGTATCCGCCAGCATGCCCTCCATTTGCAATGCCCCGGCGGAACCGCCACCACCACCACCGGCGGCGGCGGCGGCGGCAGATGTCACCTCCCGCGGGCTCGCTGTGGCCTCGCCGCCGCCGGCGGCAGGGGAGCACACAGCAGCGCCTGCGGAACCTAGTGACTTGGCCGGGCTGTTGCCGGTCTTGGGTTTCATGGCCGGGAGCGCCAGCTTTGACCGCCGCGGCTGCTGGAGGCCCTTCCCTGGAGAGGACTGGGGCTCCGCCGACACTGTCGCCACCGCTGCAGCCGCGGACTGCCGCTGCTGTTCTTTGCCGCCGCCGTCGCCACCGCCGCCAGCTCCAGCTCTGGAGCTGGCTAGGTCCTTGGTCACGACGCACACGCCGCCCCCGGCGGCGGCAACGTCGTCACCGTCGGCGGAGGCGCCGCCCTCGGATTCCAAGACCGTCCGGATGACATCATCCGTACTGGGCTCCACTGCATCAAGTTCCGCTGGGGAGCACGTTGGGCCGCCGTCAACGCTGCCGCCTCCGCCGGCACCGCCACCACCGCCAAGGCCCCTATGCAGCACTCCTACCGCGCCCGCCGCCGTCGCCGCGGCGCCCGCTATTGGAGTGTACGGACTCGCCCCGTAGATCGGATTGAACACAAAGACCCGATTGCCGGCGTCATCTACCGACGCAGTGACGGTGCCACCGCCGACGCGGCCGTCAGCCGGTACCGGCGACATGATGTCCGCACCGCCGGCCCCCTGACCCAGCATTGGCGTTCCGTTGCTGAGGCTTGAAAATCCCGGGCTGGCCTGGGCAGCCGTTGCATCATGTGGGAGCTGCTCGCCGACGTTGGGGGCTGGGGTATAGGCGGGCGGCGGCGGCAGCAGAAAGCCGCCGGCGCTTTGCGCTTCCGCCCGGGAGGAAGGTTGCGGTTTGCTGCCCGAGTCGTTGCCAGTCCCTGCGCGCTGGCTCTCCAGGGGCTCCGCCGCCGCCGCCGCCGCCGCCGCCGCCGCTGCCTGAGAGTGAGCTGCCGCAGCTGCACTTACTCCCAGAGGCAGAAGCCCTTGTTGTCGCTGTACTGACTGTACGGCAGCGGCGGCGGCGGGGGCCGGGCGGACCTGCTCTACAGGCGCACCAGCAATAGGAGCTGCAGCCGCAGCCTCGTCGGCGCGCCTCGCAGTGAGCTCTGGCGGCCGCAACGGGGACGGCGCGGGTGGGGCAGCGGCGCGCGGTGCACCCAGTGCCGCCTCTTCGTTTGATTGGCGCTTTCGCAGCGTATTCAGCAGTCGCAGCCGGATGCGCTCCAGCTCCTGCAGCTGCTTGTCTGGGCGGAAGGAGTTCAGAAGGCGGGGAGAGGCACCAAAAAGGGGGGAAGGGGGGGCGCCGGGGAGGATTCAGGAAAGGGGGAGCAGAAGTGGCAGTGGCGGCGCTTCAACGGAAGGACAAACCTAGTCACCTGTCTTTTGGAGAGCCGGACTCGTCAGGGGCAGCATAGCCCGATCCGGAGTCCAGAGGGTGCTCATCACAGCGCCGTCGGCGTCCACGCCGCCACCGCGGCCAGTGTTGACGGCACCTGGGGGCTGCGGCAGCTTCGACAAGTACGGCGTCGTCGGCGGCAGCTCGGCGGCCACTGGCGCAGCTGCGGCCGTCAGCGCGGCGCCGCCGCCAGCACCAGCGGCAGCGCCGGCAGCGAATCCCGGCGTGACCGTGCCGCCGTCAGGCAGGCCGCCGGCGTTGGAGGACGCACGTGCTTGGCGGTACATGTGTGAGAAGCTCAGCCGCCGAGGGTCAGGCGGCGGGGCCTTGGTAACGGATGCCTGATCCAGGCCAAGACTGTCAAAGTGCTCCCTGACGAGGACCACGGGGGGGGGGAAGTGTTGGATTTGGGAACGATTGGACTTTCAGCGCGCACCTGCGACAGGTGGGCTTCAGAAGCGGACAGTCCCAATCGATGCCGGGACTTAAGGAATGGGAACATAAGATGGAGGACCACGAAGGCGATTTTCCACCACAAATATTCACACACACAACCAAGTAAAAGTGCGTACGCCTAGACAATTAAAGCACCGAAAACGGAATCGCCTAAAAATGGTTGTGGAGCAAGTAACTCAGCGCAAAACGTGTGTTCCGCTACAGCCGCTCCCAAACGGTTGCGAGGAAACCAGAAAGCAAGTCACTACAAGAGGCCAGTTAGGACCGGAGGGCCTGAGGCGCACTTGCAGCTCCCGGTACCACTGGCCAAGATGTGGGATTCGGAGCTCTGGGACTCACTTGCCCATCTCGGGTACGCTCTCTGCTCCATCATTACAGTGACACGCATGCCAGCCACGCAAAGACATGTTCCACTCGGATAGAGGAAGGCAGCGAAAGCAGCAAAGGGCCCACCTGAACAGGTCCCGAGGCCTCACGGCGTCGCCATCCCCTGCCGCCGCCGCCGCCGCTGCCGTCGCCGCTGTTGTCGCACCATCCCTAGGTGAGGGGACTCCGCCTAGACGGTTGGACGCACAGCCCGAGGCAAGGCCGTCCGACTCCCCGTTGGTCTGCGGCAACGGCGGCGAGCGGGGCGACGCACCCTGGAGCTCGCCCCCGGCGGAGCAGCAGCATGTCGCCGCTCCGGCACTACCGACATCGGAAGTGCCCTTGGCCGAGCTGCCGTTCTCGGTCGCCGCCACGGCTGCCTCTGCGCCGCCTGACGCTGTCGCCGCTGGCCCGGTGTAATCAGACTCCACTGCAGCAGTGCCCTGCAGCAATAGCGGGCCGTCACCATCCTCTAATGAGTCACAGAATACAATCTCGTCGTCCTCCTCCACCGCCTCCGCCCACGTGCGTGGCTGCCCCACGAGTGCGCTTGCACGTGCCTCAGCCGCAGCGGTGGCATTCGCAAAAGGCGCCGGCAGCTCTTCGGCGACATCCACAGACGCAGTTGCTGTTGGCGCTACCGGCGGTTCCTCTTCCGCCGCCGCCGCCGCCACTGCCTCCTCCGGCAGCGGCGGTGGCCGTGCTACTCGCTGCGCCCAGACACCCGCAAGCGCAGGCAGCACGGGGCTGGCGCCAGTGGCGGCGTCACCATAGCCACCGTCCGTGGCCACGTCGGCGGTTGTGCGGGCCAGCACAGCGCTGCCAGCGACAGGGGCGCCGTAAGCAGCGCTACCGCTGCACAGCTCGCCTTCAGTGCGAGGTGTGTGGGTCCTCTGCGCCCACTTGGGCAACTTCTCTAGGGAAAGAAGCGGCTGCAATCCCACAAAAGCAACGCACAAGCACAAGCACAAAGGCGCGGAGGGGATGGGAGGGGTTTAGAAGTAAACTGGGGGCTAGGACTTATGGAGACTCAAGAAGAGACCCACAATCAAGGCAACGAGACTGCGAAAGGAGTGCGGAAGGGCGGTGCAGAGCACTGAGAAGAATGGAGGACAATACTGCTGCCCCAGGGTGGGGGCGGTGTGTGACAGGGGCGAGATGTATACAGACCAGGCGGGCTCCGGTGAGAGCTGCTGCGACCTGAATAGCAATTAATTATTAATAAACGCCCACCCACCTTGCCCTGCCGGATGCGCAAGACGGTTGCGGACATGTCCACGTGAACCTGCTGCAGCTCCTCCTCCTCCTCCTCCTCCTGCTGCCCCTCCACGCTGCCCCCGCTGCCTTCCCCACGGGCATCCGTGCAGCCCTGCCCGACGGCGCCATCCACGGCACCGCCTAGGTTCCAGGCTACAGTGTGGACACGGTACGGATATAAAAGGCGTGCAGGGGAAGCGAAGATAAAATTGGGGGAGCTTGTGTTGGGAACAAAGTCACCCGGCCACTGGCTGAACGGTGCTTTTGCCTGTCGCTCCCCCACAGCTCTCCCGCCCCATCCAGCACCCCTCCTTTTACCTTTGCGCCGGCGCACTGCAGGCGTAACGTCCGAAAGCCCGTGCAAGCGCTCCGCCCCTTGCTGCTGCTGCTGCTGTTGCTGCTGCCGCTGCTGCTGGTCCCGGTACTGCTGCTGCAGCATCGCGGCTTGCGCCGCTGCCTGCTGCTCCAGCTGCCTGCGTGCCTCCCCCGCCGCTTCCTGCATGCGCTGCGCCAAGCGCGGCGTCAGCCGCCACAGCAGCGCGCAGCCGTCCCCGCCCACCGTCACCAGGCCGCGATGGTCCTCCAACAACACGGCCCCCGTGCAGACGTCGCTGTGACCCGACCCACGGGCTAGCAGTACGCCAGCGTCCACGTCGTACACCGCCACGCTGCCGTCAGCGCAGCTGCAGATCGCCAGATGCCCGCTGGCGTCCATGCACACTGCCACCGCCTCGCCTGTGGCCATGGATGCCGGTGAGGCGCTTGTTGCCCGCATGCCGAGTGTGTGAACGCTGATGCGGATCTACCGGCCGTCCAGATCCGCCCGGCCGGCCAAGGCTTGCAGCACAACACGCAAACATGTTGAAATTATTGTTAAACAAATGACCCTTCGTCTTCCCCTTTAATGTTCCTCCCCTAGCACATGCCTCACAACACGTCATGTCGAACAGATCGCGGCAGGGCACAGCACATCACAGCACACAGTATAGCACACCAAATTGTGTAACAGCAAAAGGCCAGGAAGGAGAAGAGCCGCGCCAGGTTTTAAACCGCACACCGCAGCCCTCACCGCAAGAGGCGTCGCCGCTGAAGCTGCTGATCACGCGCCCTGTGGCCACGTCGAACAGCCGCAGTTGGCTGTCCTGCGCTACCGCCACGGCCCGGCCGCCGGCGGGGTCAACCGCCATGTCGTACAGTACGCCGCGGGACATGCGCTCCGTGTGGTAGATCTCGAAGGACAGCCCGCATGATCCCAACTGCACCAGCCTGCGATGTGGGGAGTAGTAGTGTTGCGGCTGGAGTTTGGGGTTTGGCGTTGTGTGGTATGGGCTGTGCGGGAATGTGTCTTGTGGCATATGGGCTGTGGGGGAAACCTCCACAAAGAGTTCCACCCGCCATGCAGGTTGAAGTTTTACAGACTGGAGGTACGGAATGAGCGCGCCGCACTATGCCGTACACCGCCCCCATGGCGGTATCCTAGTATCCAGGGTCCTGTCCCCACCTGAACACAACGCTCTTGTCCGCGGAGCAGCTCAGCAGGGCCAGCCGGCCGCCGTACGCGCTAAAGCGTACGGCCGTGACCGCGCCGCTGTGCGCGTCGCAAGTGCCAACCAGTTCATACCCCCGCGACATGTCGTACACGTGGACGAGAGTGTCCCGCGAGCTGGACGCCAGGTAGCTTGTGCCCTCCAGAGAGATGGGCGAATAGTCCAGAGATAGAATCTCCGCATCATGAGCCTCCTTCAACATCAGCAGCTGCAACGTCGCCAAGTTGAACACTCGCAGGTTACCGCGCGCGTCGCCCGCCGCCAAGTGGCGGCCGCAGGGGCTCACGCGCAAACAACGGAGCACCACGGGCTTGACGGTGGCGGCGCCGGCGGCTCCGCTGCCGGCAGAGGCGGTGCCGGGCACAGGCAGGGGTGCATCCGGCGCGTATCGCCGGTTGGCAGCTGCTTGGGCGGCGCTGCTGGGGCCGGCGGCGTCAAGGGCGGCTGGCGGAACCGCGTGGATAATGGCTGCGTCCACAAAGGAAAACACGCGGCGGGACGTGGCAGCATGCAAGCCGGAGCAGGAGCGGCCAATCCAGGCGACGAGGCGGCATTAGTGCCGGTGGCCAACCTCAAGTGCCAAAGGCCTCCCTCCTCCCTTTACGACGCCGGTTCCGCTGCTCCATCAAATCTGGGCCACGTGAACAGTCATGCCACATGTGCCCCTAGACTGTCGCTGAGCCCCCAATACATACATACATACATACATACATACATACATACATACAACCCCCAACCGCTTACAGCACACCTCAACCTTTAAAACCCGCCTAACCAAGGCCAAGCTAGGGACTCCTGCCATCAGTACCCCTCCTTCCGTCGCCCAACCTCTTCTCGGACCTTTTCCCCGATATACCCCCATCCGTCAATTAGGGGGCCTTCCTTCTCCCCGCGCCGCAATGTCGCAATGTCCCCCCCTGGCCCCTCACCTCGCAAGGTGCGGGTCACCTTGGCCGCCGCCGCCATGTCGGCAGGGACCCCAAACGGCCCCACGGTAGATGCGGAGTTATTCAGACACACGTTCCATAGCCGCACCGTGCCGTCGGCGCCACACGTACAGAGCACCGACGAAGGGGCAAAGGCCTCGCCGCCGCCTCCGCCCTGTGCTCCACTGTGGTCGTTCGGTGCAGCTGCGGTCGGGGGGGTGAACGCGGCGGCGGCGCAGTCCGGCGAACCAAGCAGAGAAGCCTGCCAGGGCGGGATGAGGGCCGCGCTCCAGACGACCCCGGCATGGCTCAGCACGCTCCGCATGCGGGTGGCCTAGGGTTTAGGATAGAAAGGGCAGCCCGGGAAGGGGGGAAACCCGGGGGGAAAAGGGGGAAAGACGAACCACAAACGATTAAAGGGGGAAAGGGGGGGTCTCAGTCCCAGCCTATGGATGCTCAAGTCCTGTGAGAAGGCGGCGATCGGCGGGAGCTGGCGGAATCTCCGGACGTGGCACAGTCGCACATCCTGGTGTTTGTGTCAGGGGGATATCCACTTCCGCGTCTACCATTCCATCACGCGCCGCTCTGCTCTTCCCCCCCACACACACATGACGCTCCAACGGATGCATCAATGGCGCTGTGCTGCTGCGAGCCGGCACCCAACCTGGCAACAACTCCCGCCCCCCTCCCACACACACGCACCGTCATAGGGTCCTCTCTGCAACATCGCCTTCCCCACGAAACAAAACGGCCAACAGCTCTCCTCCCCCTCCTCCTCCACTCACACCCCACCCCACCAACCCACGTGTACTTTGCACTCTTGTGCCCAATTCACCGGACAGCCTTCTTTAGTTAGTCTGTTAGTTAGTTAGCTAGTTAACCTCCGCCTAAGAACAGCCGAGAAGAACGCTCGAGCATGGAGGCACTTAACCTCATTAGCTCGGGTCCTTGATATCCAACAGCCTCTCCGGCCTAACCCCATCCGGTTCAGCAATTCCCCCTGCGGCCCCTGGCGACACACACCCCCTCATACAACCCCAATACCCGCTCACCTTGCCGGGGTTCCGCACATCCCAAACCATCAAGCTCCGATCCGCATAGACCACCGTCAGCCGCTCACCAGCGCTGTCAAAGGCGCAGCTCACCGCATCCGGAAACAGCGACCCAGTCGACGTTAGCGGATCGGCGCGAGGCCCGCCGGGGTTTGAAACCACGGCGCCCCCGCCGCTGCCATAGCCCCCCGCTGCGCCATCTGGGTGGCCGCCGCCGCTCGTGCCGCGGCTCGTGGAGGGGCCGGTGGTGGGACGCGGTAGGTTGCCCTTGAAGGATAGAGTCCTTGTGGCGAAGAGGCGGACGACGCCGGCAGCACAGGCGCAGGCTATGAGGCTGGAGGAGACGGCCATGGCGAATGCGGCGGGCACCTGCCGGGCGGGCACGGGATGGGGTTAAGAAGGGAAACCCGCGGGGGCCAAGATGGGTAGTCCTGGGACAAGGCCGCGGTGGGATGATTTGGAGCTCAGCACTCAAGATTGGCTTCATCGTGTCCCTAGCCCTGCCAAGTCCTTTCGACCACCACCCCTCCCCGTTAAGGAAAGGAATGCATCGGGGGCTCCACGTCTCTAAGCGCACCTGCAGGCTGAGCGACTTGTCGATCGTGCGCGTCGATGACCGCAGCGTCAGCAGCACGCCGTTTTGCGTTAGGGCGTATAGAAGCGCTTGCGAGGATGAGCCGTCGGCTGGCGCCGCCGCGACACTCACGAAGTTGCTGGTGCGGTACTCCTTGAGGCTGGCGGGGCGGGGTGTCAGGGACGCCTGGCCTGCCGTCAATGGGCCGTCGCGCCCGCGGCCTGAGGGCAGGGTTAGCGACCACACCTGCAGGCGGCAGCAGGTGAAAGGGAAAATTGGGATCCCATGGAATTGTTATGGGCGGTGTTTCCCAGGGCCGCAATCCTAGAAGCAGCAGTAGCAGCGGTCCTGATGGGATGGTTTGAGCACCTCACACGCGCCCCGTGGCGCTGCCCTCATAAGACTCAAGCGCGTTCAGGCACCCAACCGCGCTCCCTTTCTTGCCTTGAAGTGTCCCGCCTTGCCGACGGTTGTGATGGAGAGTCCCGATGCCCCCGCACCCAGCTCCTCCGCAAAACAGGCCCGCTGCACCTCCGCCTGCGTGTGCTGTCGCGCCAGGAGCACACCGGCCTGCCAGTCCCACACACACAACTGGCCATCGTAAGACTCGCCCGTCGACACCAGCAGACGACCTGCAAGGAACCATTACCTTAAGGATTAGGGGGACCACCATCCACTAATGCAGATTCCTAATGGAAAGGGGAAGGAGCTGGGTGTCCAGAGATGGCCGCGGTCAGGGAGGAGGAGTCCGGCAGGGGTGTAGTTAATATGGCAGGCTGGCAAATGCTGCCTTTTCCTTCGTGCATCTCTCACGTGGGGATGCGTTTTTCGACAGTTGTGGAATGGGATGCAAAAGCCATGGAGAGAACCCCCGACGGCGTGGTAGTTAGTCAAGGCACGTGGACTTAGCCAGAGGTCCGGGGCAGGCGCCGTAAGGTGCGTTTCCCCCCCTCCCTTACCATCCTGGCTGAAGGCGATGCTCCCAATGCCGTGCTTGTGGCCCTTCAGTGTCTGTAGGCAACGGCTGGAACTGACCTCCCACACAAGGATTTCGGGACTTTGCGGGCTGCGCTCGCCAGCGGCCAGGTAGGCTCCGTCACGGGAGAAGGCCAAGCAGGCATACGGCTTGCCAGTCACGAGGCTGCGACGCGGTTTTGGGCTAAAGAAGGCTGTTTGCTGCTTGTGTTGGCTATCGTAGAGCACAACCACAGCACCGCAGCTGTAGGCCAGCAGGCCTGGAATAGCAGGGTGCGGGCATGCGATGGCTGCCGCCGCGCATGAGCCGCTGCCATACACCCTTTCAAGTTTCAGCGGTTCGAAGCTGTGGTGTGATGAGGGTTGCTGGGCCTGGAAAGGTAGGCGCATGGAATGGAAAAAGTTGTTGCGGGGCCTGGAAGCAGCTGGGTTGGCCCCAACGAAGCTGGCTGTCACTGCTTTACCTGTTGAGGCGCGCCACGCTTGCGTGCACCTGTAGCCTTTGACGGATTGAGGATTTCCATATTGACAACTAAGCTTATGCTTCCATCGATAAATGTCGTCTTTCCACCTTCTTTTATCTGTAGCGAAGTCAAGTATTCCAAAACCTCCGTCTGATTAAACCATGTGTCCTTAGGTTGAGCTTCGCCCTAGTTCAAATGTTATCATATAAAGTTAGGTCGAGTGTGCTGAAGGAATTCGGTTCGCCATAGTTTACATAGTACGGCAGTCGGATCCGGATACTAACCACTTGTTTCCGGCCCTCCGTAATTTCATTATTTCGACGTTAACTATCCAACAAGTAACGCGCTACTTTAAACTCCCCTGTAACGATTATCTAAGAGCACCATTTGAGGCAATTGTTCATTCCATTTGGGCTTTAATACTTATAAAGTTAATGTGTTTGACCCTGACTACGTCTTATTGACCTGCCAATTAAGAACTAATGGATTCTCTTTTACCACCGCGGCCGGGTAGTCGGCAAGGCGCCGTGCAGGGACGGCATGTAGATAAGCTTGATATCTTGCCAGATGAGCTTCTAAAAAAGCAGGACGAGGCGTACTTGGTGAGTAGGTTGAGGAGCACATGTCGACTTTCGTTCTTTCCTGGGCACTATATGTGTGCCCAAATGGAATTACTGGGCCTTCGCATTATCTTGATGCGACTGCGTTTATCGATGGTTGGTGCATGACCCTCGTGTTGCAGGCGAAGCATCAGCTTGATGCGCTGTTCGGAGAAATCCTGCACGGCCTCGTGCAGGAAATGCCATCAGACCCTGTCCAGTTTATTATAGACAGTGTCCAGTATGGCGTGGATCAAGCCGTTCAGGTGGGCCCGTGGGACGCTGGGCGGTGCCGCACCCAGTTGATGCCCCAACCTGCGATTGTGGCGCTTGTAGCCCAGCCCAGCTTCACCTTCGAAGCTGTAGCCTTCTCAATCTATAATTTTTAGCCTCGCCACCATTTCCCCGCCCCGCAGGACAAAGCAACGGGAATGCCGCTGCATCGGAAAATTCGGCTATTGGACCTGTTTCGCATTATTGACAAGCAGGGCACAGGGCGAATTTCATTCCGCGCTATGCAGGTGGGGGGTTGTGCAAAGTAAAATCTTCGTGTCCATGTTTCGCGCTGCGTGGGGCTCGTGGGGCTGCGTGCAGCACCTCAGACGGTCCTCGTGGCGATGCTCCTTAACATGCAAAACAGCCGGGCCTGCGATTTGTTCTTCCCATAACTACATACAGCCACATAACCCACACGGACTCTATACCCTCACTCCGACTCGCTTGTTGGCTCGGTGACTTTTCCAATACCGTCCGCAGGAATACGCCAACCGCTATGGCGGCCAAACTCTGGGCGCGGATGAACTTGTCAGCATTTTCGCAGACTTCAAGCCCGGAGCCGACAACTTGATTACGCAAGATGAGTTTGTGAGGTTCTTTTCCCGAGTCAGCAAGACAATCTCCAATACGCAGTTTGAGGCGATGGTGAAGGAGATGATGAGCTGATTTCCCGCGGCTTCAGCGGTAAACCACCTCGCATCGCGTCAGCGTGCTTTGATTGTTGGTGCTTCCCATCCTGTCCAATTTCGGCGAGTTGCGTTTTGACGCAGCAGCGTCAAAACATAACTTGTATGCAGGTTTTATGGTTCTTGTGTGTGCGAGTGTGTGTGCGTATGTGTGCTGAGGCTTTGTAGTACTGCGGGGGGTCTAGAATTGCATATACCTACGTAAACTACGGCAAGGATCTAGGCGTCGTAATGCGCGGGACGGATGTGCGCCTCGTTGTGAGGCGTATTCCGTATGTAGTGTTCCGTGTGCACCAGTTGGGTGGTTTGGTGAACGGAGGGTGAACGGAGGAGAGCTGGTTGCGCTGCTGGTGGTGGTGAGGGGGGGGGAAGGGAGGAGTAAGTTGACCTTTTGGGGGGAATTGTGTACATGCGCCGATCAGTATGAATGTTAGTTAAACAAGCTGTTGACAAATGCCGAGGTGGAGGATCCACTGAACTATGTCGTACATCCAAGTACGGATCTGGACTTGGCCGCATCTTGATCATGTGGGTGTTGCGGCCTCCCCCGCGGCACTGGACACTTCCGCGGCACTGGACACTTGAGGTGTTGTGGTTGCTTCATAGCGCCTACTACCATTTGAGATACGTGTCACATGACACTGGCTGCCTTTGCATCTGAAAACACCGCAAGCTTTCAACGCCAGGCGTTATCACGCCAACATAACCGAACGAGCAGCACTTCTGTGCCCTGGCAACTTTGTGCAGAAAATTTTTATATATTAATACTTTACTGCAATACACGATTGCCCAGAGGAGTGGAAGCACAGCTCGGCTACGACGGCTACTGTTGCCTGAACAGGCGCCTGCCGCCCATCCATGCTTTCGTAAGGGCATGCATATTGCCTGGGTACCGGCCATTCGCACGAAAGATTGTTGCATTGCCTCAGTCGCAGCCTGAGCTGCAGAGACTGTTCAGCCTGTTTCTAAGACATGGCGTACACGGCGCCGACCCCCCACCCGGCTGCAAGGTATTTAGCATCTATGTGTACGTTTCTGTGGTCTGAACGCCGTGGTCTAACTACCGATAGCTTGTCAGCTAAGCCTAACTAAAGCCTTAGACGGATCACAACAAACGAATAGTACTTGTTCATTCACAACACGGCAGACTCTGATGCACACACAAACAAAAGCGCAGACCGACGGGAGCAAATAAAGCACCGGCAGACACAGCCCCCGCCGCCGCCGCCGCAGCAGCAGCAGCAACCGCGATAAGAGCCGTTGCGTGGTGCAGGCCGCAGTGGTACCATAACAACAAGCGAAGCCCGCCCCGTGTCAGCGCACATCACACCGCAGCCAAGGACGTGCTCGTGCTGCCTGGCCCTCTGGGCTCTCGTTCTCGTGCGCAAAAGCCCGAGAGGACGACTTCCCACCTACCCACCTTCCCAAGCACTCGCTTTCCCGGCGGTTTAAGGTTAAGGTTAAGTGGAAGTGGAAGTGGGTTCCAAAGCGCGCGCTTCGTCAGCATGGCCGCCCCTGCCGCCGCTCGCACAGCAGGTGGCAGCGGCGGTAGCGGCAGCAGCCGCATCACCCCGAACACCGACCACGGCCTCCCTGGCCACCATCAAGCGATCCAAGCACGGCCGCGTCACTCCCAGAGTCTCGGAATGGCAGAAGTACGGCATCCGGCGATGAAGATCCGCAAGGTCCTCGATGCCCACTCGGCGCCAACCTCCGCAACCCGCCGCCGCCGCTGCACCCTCACCTCCGCCTTCAGCCGCATCCGCATCCTCGGCGCCATCGTCCTCGGCGCGGCCGGCTGTCTGACCCGCACCTGCAGCCGGGCTGGCGGCCCCCGCCGGTCGGGCTGTAGCTCCGTCGTCCCCTCGTTCTCCCGCCGCGGTACCACGTGCCGGTCTCCGTGCCCTGGCCGCCGGTCGCTGCCCTCCCCCGATCTCGCAACACAACACCCGAGCAGAGGGCGATGTAGGACAGACGTGTTGATCAAAAAAGCAAACGAGGTCCTGCGGGACAGAAAAGGTTGGGAGGGGTTCAAGCGGGGAGGGAGGGAGACGGGGCAGACGGGTAAGGTGGGGGGGAAGACGAACCACGAACGAGTAAAGGTGCTGCCAGGGCAAGAGTGTACCAGACGTAGAACTGACCAAAAGGCGTTCTTGAAGTGCGGCGACCTCGGGATGACGTAGTGAAGAAGATGTCGGAAAACTACCTACCTAGCCGCCAAGACTAAAATAAGCGCGCAAGAAAAGCAGTGATGCCAAGCCGTAAAGAAGTAAAGGGCGGGGGGGAGACGGGTGGCCAGACGAGACGGCAGGCGGTGAGGTAGGGGTTTTAAGGTAGGGGGTGAGGTAGGGGTTTTAAGGTAGGGGGTGAGGTAGGGGGTGAGGTAGGGGGACCACAAATAAAGGGCATGGGGGAGGGAGAACAGAGAATGAAACCCTAAAAGAATGAACACACATAGGGCCCATTTCCCAGTGCCTGCAGGTGCGGGAAGGATGTCGTACTGCCGTACCAGGCCGGAGGAGGGCAGCGACGCGACCCAGACGACATCAGAAGTTTGCGACAACATTCCCCCACACGCACCTGCCCCTAGACACCCTGACGCCTGCGTGACATCGACTCACCTGCAGCCCCAGGCTCCTCAGCGCCTCCGCCTTGCGCTGCCCCTTGCAGAAGTCGTAGCTGCGGTAGCGGATGGGCCGCCAGCAGTTGCCAGCCGCCTCCGCCAGCGACCGGGGCGGCTCCAGGTACTTCTCCTCCAGGGAGGCCTTGAAGGAGGCAAGACGCTCCGGAACCAGCTCTTTCCAGGGGGCAAGAAAGAGAGAGATGGGGAGAGGAAGGCGCGTGACCACGCTTGCCGGCATTTGCCCACGTGGGTTGGCGGGTATTAATTGACCAACTCGCAAACCCCCCTTCCCCATATTCGCCCTAAATGCAAAGCCTGACAATAGAACCAGCCCCCATACGACACACACATACACACACACACCACACTCTCTCTCTACAACCTGCGTTCAATCCCTACCACCCAAACCCCGTCACACAACCCTACCCCCCTACCCCCCTAGCCCGGGAACCCCATCTACCTCGCAGCTCCGAACCAAAACTCGCCAGCCACTCCGCCACGCGTCGGAGCAGTTCCTCCGGCCGCTTGTCCGGGCTCTGCACCCTCACCGCCAGCCCCATGCCGCCCCCAAGCCGGTGCTTGGTGAGGCTGACCACGTAGCCCAACCTCTGGCGGGTCCGTAGCTCGTGGAAGGCGGGTTTTGAAGCCACCTTGGTGAACAGGTCCAACAACACGGCGGGGCGGACGTCCAGGGGGTCATCCTCACCCACCTGTGGACGAGGGGGGAAGGGGGGAGGGCCGGGGGAGGGTGTTTGTGTGTCTGTGTGTTAGGACACCTTGCTAAGAGGGGGCGCGGATCACCAATGAGGGGGGGTGGAGGGGAAAGACGAACCACGAACGAGTGAAGCTGCTGCCAGGGGGTTGGAGGGGAGGGTGGGAGAGATGGAGTAGAAAGGGAGAGAGAGCGGGAGAAGGGAGGGCGGAAGAGAGGGATGGAAAAGAGGACATGTTCGAGGATGGGTGTTGGAGTTGCGCGCAAAGGTGCTGCAAAAGGGGATAGAGGAGGAGGGGTCCCGGTGTTGTATCACGACTTTTCGGAAAAGAACCGATCGGCGGATCCCGGGATTCCGTGATACACACATGACACTACACCTGGGGCCCCGTTAGGAAGGGGATGGAAAGCAGAGCCGGCTCCCGAATGTGAATGTGATCATCCCAGATCCGGATGCGGATGACTTTGCGAAAACGGCACATGGAAGGAGGTCGAGGTGGTCAAGGTGGTTGACAGTTACCTTAACCCTCCTAAGCACTGTGCGGGGCACCTTGGTGCGGGAGGGGGGAGGGGGAGACTTTTGATCAAGGCAGGCATCACACCTGGCTGGCACCTTAGAACTGAAGCACCCCATTATGCTAGGAATTGCAATGCGAAAGAGCGCTGCTTCAAGTACTAAATAAATACCTTGCTTATATCCTAATTTAACCTTATAGAACAAGCTTACATCGCAAGCATCCCAGACAGGCATCAAGTCGCGACCGCAAGCGAGCAGTCAGTCCGCCAGCGCCCCCCCACCCCCAACAATCGCCCTGCTGCAGGTCAGTGCCTCAAGAGTCTGCCTTCACACACCCCACCTGGCAAAGAAAGAAGACGGCGCTGTTGGTGTTGGAGGGGTTGGGATTGGCAGGCACGTAGCGCCACAGCACGGGGCCACAGACACCGCCGCCACCTCTGACGCCGCTGCCGCTGCCGCTATCAGTGGGACCGGCAGTAGCAGCACCGCGTCCAGCTCCTCCGCCGTGCAGTCCGCCATCACCCCTGTCAGACTGGACAGCCTTCCCCGCCTCCTGCAGGTCCACTGGTGGCGGCGGCGGCGGCAGCGCCGCCGCTGCAGCGACCGCAGTGCTGTTGCTCGTGGGGGAGGTGTTAGCCGACGACGAGGCAGGCTCGGTAATGCCTTCGCCTTCTTTTTCCTGCCGCTTCCGCTGCTGCTCCGGGCCAGGGCTGGCCGGTTCAGCCGCCTCCGGAGCCAACAGGAGGATGCGGGTGGCGGGCCAGCCTGCGGGTCCCAGTCCCGTGGGTTGAAGGTGCCGTACAAGTGTCGCGGACAGGTCTGTGCGGGCACAAGGGGGCGCAAAGGGGCACAGGGCGGTGTACGAGATAGCCCGAGGTG